TTACCAAAGGACAGCTCAAAAAAAATTTTTTAAGAGGTCACTCCAAATTTTTAAAAATTTCAAAAATTGTCAAAAATCGAATTTTTTTTTTTTTTATTTTTTTTCTCGTTACGGTATAATTTTATAGACTAAAAAAAAATAAGTTTCTGGAAATTTCAGTTCAAAATTCGAATTTTGAAAGGTCGCTTATGATTTTTTTCAATTTATTAGTGCATTAGTTTAGATTTTTTCGAGCGACCTTTTACTATTCAAATCAAAATTCTATGCACTTTTTTTTTTTTTTATTTAGCACAATAATCGATAAGAATACATCACGAGATAAACTAAAAATCAAGCACAATATAGAAAATATAATTTCTTTTTAATTTAATAATTTTATTTAATCAACTGCCAGGCGCGAGTTCGAATCCCAAGCTGGTCTTAGAAACCAGCTTGGTTGAGATTTGACCTTGCCGCGTTTGTTAAGATGTTTTCAAACCAAAAAGACCCCAACGTACCACTCCCAACACTTAAAGTCGGCGAGATGACTAATTAACGAAAAATAAAAAAAATTATGAGCGACCTTTCAAAATTTAAATTTTGAACTGAAACTTTCAGAAACTTATTTTTTTCTGGTCTATAAAATTATACCGTAACGAGAAAAAAAATTAAAAAAAAAAAATTCAATTTTCGACAATTTTTGAAAGTTTGAAAAATTTGGAGTGACCTCCTAAAAATTTTTTTTTTAGCTGTCCTTTGATGAGGGCTCTTAAAACATCAAAAACTAACATTTTTTCATTCGAGACTCAAAAAAAAAAAATAGTCGGTTTTTTTGCGCCACCCTACTTGTCCAGTTAATCAAATTTTATAATTATCATTATTTTTATCACCAGGATAACATGGCTAGCGGTAACTGCATGACATCAACATCAATAATGACCTACACAAACGGGCCAGATGGTCGTCCCCAAGTGTACCAAGCATCAAAATCAATGCGAGCTGGCCCAAATGGCGTCAAAGAAACCAAAGAATCTGTTTTTGACTCCCGAGCTGGCACCAAAAAGATGGCCATCGGTCACCATATTGGCGAAAGAGCTCACATCATCGAGAAGAAGAAGGATTTGCGTAACGGAGATGAGGAAGAACACCAAGAGTTCATCAACCTTGACGATGGTAATTTTATTCCCCAATTTTTCAATTATTTATAACCAGTTCAGCAAACTAAATATTCTCTACTTTTAGACGAAGCCGACAATTTCAACCAAGAATGGGAACATCGTATTCGTCAAGCTCGTCCTCGAGCCAGTGATTCTCAGGCAGCTATTGATTACTCGCCCCACAGAAGACATCACCGTGGAGAACGACAGCTTGCGTTGACTGATGGAACACCAAGGTTCGTAAAAAATAATTACTTAATCAATCAATTTTTAATTGCATCGATAAGTAGTTACTCATCAATTATTTACTATCAATTGCATCCAGTGACTTAAAGTTTAAATTATAAATTTTTATGTAAATTATTTACGTAATGTTTGCACGTCTCTGTTGTAATTATTGAACGTACTATCTAAATATTTGTCAGTCTTAAATTTATTGTTTGTATATATTTATTTAGCAAACGTAGAGCACGTAATGCAAGAAATAGACCGTAATGGATAATTGGAGGACTCAAGATTGATTATTGGTCATTTAATGCTCTCTGTAATTTCTTTTTTTTTTATTTATTATTATTATTACTATTTACTATCATATTTAATAAAGTCAACGGGCATTAGTTTCATTCTAATTAGATTTATTATTTATTTTCTTGTTTAATTATTTTTATAATAGCTAGTTTATTTTTTTTTTTATGGGCTGGTTGTTGGGTTGCTTGTTTAGTCGACAGAGTGAACGGTCTAGAGTACCAAGTTCAAGACGAAGTATTCGAGCCTTGACGAACAGTATTAAAAATAAAATCAGGTAAGATGTTTATTAAAAAAATTAATTTTGTTTTTTTAATTTTTTTTTTTTTTTGCTTATAAGAAGGTTTAAATTTAAAATTTCGCGGTTTTAGTCCGCCATTTTGATTTTTAAAGTCAGCCATTTTGATTCTTGAAGTCGGCCATTTTGGTGTCGTCAAAGTCGGGCATTTTGAGTTGAAATTTTTGATGAAATAAAAAATTTTAAACCTTTTTATAATTAAATTAATCATCTTCTTTAAATGGAACCTGCTTAGATTATTAAATGTGAGTGCATGAAAATTTTTAATTAAGCTTGTTAATTATTAATGCATTAAAAAATTTTTTTACCATATTTAAAATTAATAAAAAATAAATTTAAAAATCATAATAATTAAGAAAAATTTTTTATCATAAAAAAAGAAAATTGGAATGGAAAATTTTGATTTTGTGTATTGCAGGTTCTCCCAAAAGTATTAAAAATATAGTTAATTATTCCCGAGGGTGGTGACGTTTTATTAAAAATAAAAATACAACGTAAGTAAGTAACGTTGTATGAAAAATATTAAATATCTGTATCTCGTCTTATTCTTGAAGCTCGAGAACCATCGGCATGACCTCTAAATTTCATCTCATTAGTTATTGAATTTTTTTTAACATAAATTTTATTATTTTTTTTTTTTATTTTTATTACTCTTAATTCAATACTGACGTTTTATTTATTTGTAATTTTAGCGCAAGTCAAAATGATAGTACTGAAACGGAATCTAAGCCAAAAGCTACTGAGACATCCGGAAGACGAAAACATGAAGATGATAACGAAGATGATGAAGATAATAATAAGAAGAAACGACATTTATCTACTAGTGAAGATTAATTAATTAATCAATTAATTATTGAACTAAATTTTTTCTAACTTACGTCTATTAATATTTAATTAACGTAGCTAATGGACGTAATTTGACTTTATCTCAAAACTAAGCTCTCAATTGAATATTCCATTTTTTTTACGCAGAGTATTAATTTTTTTATTTTGATTTCTTCAATTCCCCATGAAAAAAAAAAATATATGTCGAAATATATAAAAAATATATAAATATATAAAAAATATATAAATATATTAAAAATATATATACTATACACGGAAAAAACAAGATGACACTAGATATCATCCCAGATTGAAAAAAAACACTGAGTGAAAAAAAATTTCAGATAGTAGCTAGTATAATCCAGATTACAATGAGTATAATCCAGATTATAATGAGTATAATCCAGATATCACGCAGTATAATCTGGATTTTTTTTTAGCTACTACCTGAAATTTTTTTTCGCCACAGATATCACTGAGTATAATCTGGGATGATATCCAGTGTCATCTTGTTCTTTCCGTGTACATAATTTATATATTTTTTATAGAATTTTTTTTTAATATATTTTTTATGTAGTTCGACATATATTTTTTTTCATGGGGGATCAGTTGAGGTACAAAATAAATTTGACTAGATTATTTTTTTTTAGAGCAAATAATTAAATTTTTTTTTTACGAGCTTAAAAATTTTTTAAACTTTTTTTCTGTTACTGATATACTTTAATAATTCAAATATATATAAACGTCACACTCTCAATAATAAAATGTAATTTAATAATAATAAAAAAAAATTATATTCATCTTAAATTAAGGAAATAAATAAAATATAACAGTGAAATATTTTTCAGGCATTTATTGGAAGCAAACTTATAAACCAAGTACAATTTAGATAATTATAATCATAATTATTATTAAAAAAAAAAAATATTTATTTACCGTCACCACAAGTAAAATTTTAAAATATCCGTCGATAAAATCAAACAATAAGTACATAATTAATGATTAATACTAATGTGTATTGATTGAATAAAAATAATAAAAAAAATTGTATGAGGAAAGCAAGCAATAATAGAATTAATGATAAAAGTTTTAAATTTTCGACACCATGGTATGGATGGCTTTTGTTAATTGTCTTCAGCGAGGCTGTTTATTCTGGTGTTGATCGCAAGTACTTGAGCGATAAATCCTGTGTCGCGGACGACCACCGCAAGAGTTGACAGTAGGCTCTCTAATTCGTGACGAGACATTCCTAATTTAGATGCGCATTTTGATATCGCTTCTAAATCTTCGTAATTTGGTGCTACCTGAAATTATAAAAAAAAAAAATTAGTATTTTTAAATAAAAAATTAAAAACGATGAAATTTATAAACAAAAATTAAAAATGATAAAATTTTAAAACTAACTTTTAAAATATTTAAATAAAATTTACAAACAAAAAATAATAAAATTCATAGATAAACATTGAAAAAAAAAAAATTTTTAATTTTAAAAATAAAAAATTCAAACTAATAAAATTTATGTATAAAATTTAAAAATGATAAAATTAATAAATTAAAAAAAAAAAAATTTTAATTTTAATTGTTAAAGTTTATAAATAAAAAATTAAAAACAATAAAATTTGTTAATGAAAATTAAAAAATAAAAAATGATCAAATTTATAATTAAACATTAAAAAATTTCAAGTTTTTAAAATAATAAAATTTAGAAAAAAAAAATAAAAAATAATAAAATTTATAAAAAAAAAAAATTAAAAACGATAAAAAAAAATTTAGACTTAATTATGATAAAATTAATAAATAAAAAAAAAAATATAAATACCTTAGATGGAGTATAAAATTTATCAAAGGGCATTTTAACCCGTTTTTTGCCGTTGTTAGTTTGGTAAAAAATAGTAAAATTCTGGACGTCATCAAGTTTCAATGGAAAATATATTCCAGCAGTCAGATGTCCCTTAGTATCCCTAGCAACTAAACTACGGAAATTGTAGACCAAGTTACGACGCTCAGTGACGTCAATGGCAGTCAAATATGGCCGAGCGACGTAAATAAGAGCAACTTGTGTATTCTCCAAGGCACCAGGGCGTGTTTCTCTGTCGTGCCACTCGACGTAGTCCGGGTCTTGGACGCACAGAGAATAATTGTACTCTTTTTTACACTCCTTGTCATCGAACTGGGTAAACCAACCGGTATGCGGGTACATTTTATCCCCCATTACAGTTATCACCCGAGCGACGTGGTAACCCGGGTCCAGGAGCAAAACTCCTCGACGGTTATTTATTTCTATCTTTAGGCAAACGAGCACGTGTTCTTTCTCTCCACTGTCTGCAGCTGGTGGTCCACCAACGTACCCTTCGATGTCTCCAATAGTCTAAATCATTAAAAAATTTTTCATTTTTTTTTATTAAATTAAAACTCCAAAATATTTTTAAAAAATTTTACTGAGTTTTTTTCTAATAAAAATTTTATTAAATTTTCATGTAAAATTTTTAATTTTTTTTTAAATTAAAACTAAATAAATATTTTTGAAAAATTTAATTTTTTCGAACCTTTACGCAAAATTTTTTTTTTATTACATTGAAATTAAAAAAAAAAAATTCACTTATAATTTTTTAAACTTTCTATATGTGAAATTTTTATCATTTCTTAAAAATTATTAAATATTGTTCAAAAAAATTTCAGTTTTTTTTTAATTTTTTTCCATTAAAAATTTTTTTAAATCTTTATGTAAAATTTTTTATTTTTTTTTTATCAAAACTAAATAAATGTTTTTGAAAAATTTGATTTCAAGTTTTTTAAATCATGTAAAATTTTTTTTTTTTATTAAATCGAAATTAAAACTCATTAAATATTGGGTAAATGCACCAATTATTGACCGATTAAGGTTTTCTTTCTCTGTACTAAGCTAAAAAAAAATCTATTAACCTACTAAAAACAATTTGTAATGGATTTTATTAAAATTAAATACTTAATTAATAATAATTAATAACTATAGAGGATATAGAAATAACACTAAAAGAGAGAGCAGTACGATATATAAAGGACGTGATAAAAATGGACAGAGAAAGATGGCCGTGGATTATTATGAAAGAAGAAATGAGAGGTATACTAAACGGAAGAGCAACAAAATGGGGTAAAGAAGTGAAAAAAATATTAGAAAAAATGGGTTGTGAGGAAGTAGTCAGGATGATATATAAAGAGCAGGAAATAGAAGAAATAGAAACAAAGCTGGACGAAGGGATAATGAGAATAAAAGAAGAAACAAAAAAAGAAGACGAGGAGGCGATAGAGAAATCATCATACTGCAAATTATATAAGAAAATAAAAATTACTATTGGGGAAAAGATGAAATAAGTGGGGAAGATAAGGAAACATGGGCGAGGGTACGATGTGGGAACATAGGAAGAGGGGGAAGAAGAAACCCTGATGCATATAATGAAATGTGAAGAAATATATGAAAAAGTTGGAGAAGAAGGAAAGAGTTTTTTAAATGAATGGAAAAATTTAGAAAATGAAGAGGTTGAAGAAAGATTAATAGAAGTACTAAAGGGAAGAATAGACGGGAGAGCATACACGGTTTTGAAGAAAAATTGAAGAGATCCTAAGGGAAAAAACGGGATTGCGGAGTTTGGGGCAGGAGGGTCACCAGAACAACGACGTGCAAACAAGAGGAAAAAAGAAAAGAAAAGAAAAATAGAAAGATCAAATGGAAAGAGAAATAATATATACAATTAACATACAATGACAATATATGTAAAAACTTTGTAAGAGACCAAAGTCGTGCAAATAAAACTATTTATTATTATTATTTAATAATTAATAACTATTTATAATAAAAATTAACAAAATTATATTAATTTTGTTATTTGAATGTTGAAATACTAAAATCACCAATTATTGACCGAAGAAACCCAATAAATGACCGACCGTTCTCCAATTAATTGACCGCTCAAATAATTATAAGTAATTTTGTAAACTACATGTAGGGGAGCCTGGGGCACGACGGCCTCCTTAAGCAAATTTTTTTATTTTGTGGCTTTTAACCATCAAATTCATTTATTTTCCATCTATTTCGAACGAATTAGTCGACATTTTGCAAAAAATCGAAAAAAAAAATTTTTTTTTCTGGGGCACGACGGCCCCCTCCCCAAAAAATCATATAAAAAAATTTTTTTTTTACTTAAGCTATTACCATCAAAATCTAGAGATTTTCCTCCCAGAAAACGTTGTCGAGGGAAAACCACGATTCTTACATGTCTTGAGTATCGCCGAGAACTCACAGAAAAAAAAAATCAACATGAAGCAAAAAAAAGACCTCAATTAAACAAAAA